TCTATGACAACGAATTACTTAATCTTGTTTTTGTATTAGCTTTTAATTTCCAGACGATAGGAATATTATTATAGAGACTAGCAACTAACAAAAGAATAAAGAAGAAAGATCAATAACCATACCTTTCATATTGTGCTATTTCAGTTCCAGTAATTTCCATAGGTTGTTTTAGAAAACTATTATTGTGTGTGATAACGGTAGAACTCTGACCGCATGTAACATGACGTGGCATTCCGATATTTTATGAATTCACTCAAATAATAATACCATGTGGATGTGATATTTTACCGTTGCACACAATAATACCATGTGAGAGATAAATGATACACAAAGATTAAGGGGTGAGTAGAAAAGACGCATCAGCCCCCACCATCTGCATAAAGATATGACATGATTTCCATCAGAATGCTCAGTTACACATCAAGAATAGTACAAAGAGCCGTTACAGTGGGGCAATAATGAAGCCACTTGAGCTCATGTTCTTGGGTAAAGCCAAAAAATGCTAATGGCCAAGAACACTCATTGCATTGCTGAGGATAAGGTTACGTGCCGTTGGAAAACACTGTTTTTGTCAGAAAGTAATGTCCCGCTCCACTGGAAAGCAATACAACTTTAGTCCAACGTTCAAAAATACTTGCTATAAAATCTGGTGGTGGTGAGGCTTCTTACTTCACCAACCATATTCCATTATTCTTTTGAGTCTCTTGCCATTAGCTTTCGAGATCTGTGCTCTGCTTTAATCATATTTCCCAGTTGTTCATCTGCATTTCATATATTTTCCTTCTGTTTTTCCACCATCAATGGCTGGAGCACTTGTTCCCATGGTGATAGAACAGTTGGCTTCCACCACCTGTAAACAGATACAAGGAGAGGTGAATGTTGACGGAGAAGTTAAAAATCTCATAATCCATTTCAATGCTATTCAAGCTGTGCTCCAGGATGCAGAGGAGAGGCAGGTCAAGGAGGAGAGCGTCAGAAACTGGCTGCAGAATCTGGAAGATGTGTCGTACGACATAAACGACGTCTTGGATGAGTGGAACACTGAAATTCTCAAGCACCAAATTGAGAAAGAAGAAGAAGGTGAAAATGTTGCCCTTAAAAAAAGGAAGGTAAGCCTCTCCATTCCTTTTATCAGCGTTATTTTTGGTTCAACTGGGAACGTAATTATGCGTCACAACATTGCTAAGAGAATAAAAGAAATAAATGTTAGGTTAACTGAGATAGCCACTTTAAGAGAAAATTATAACTTTCATGAGAACACAATTAGAGCCACTGAGAAACTTGAACGGGTTGAAACTTCTTCTTTTGTCCAAGTGTCTAGTATAATTGGTCGTGAAGAGGAGAAAAAAAGATTAGTAAGCATGTTGTTAAGCGAGAGCAGTCAACAAGGGAGGAGCCCATTTGTTGTGATCCCCATTGTGGGGATGGGAGGATTAGGAAAAACTGCATTTGCCCAGTTAGTCTATAATGATGATGAAATTATAAAAACTCATTTTGACACTAGAATATGGGTTTGTGTGTCAGACCCTTTTGAAGAGATCAAGATTGCCAGAGCCATTGCTCAAGCTCTAAATAAAGATGATAATCGAATTAATTCAACTAGTTTGCAACCTTTGTTGGAATGTATAAATGAATATATTAGTGGTAAAAAGTTTTTCCTTGTTCTAGATGATGTGTGGACTCCAACCATTGATAATTGGGAACCATTAATGAGAGCTTTACAAAATAGTGCTATAGGCAGTAGAATATTGTTGACCACGAGAAAAGACACGGTTGCTACTGTGACTGGAGCAGCCGCTGATCACGTAATCTGTTTGAACATCTTGAGTGATCAAGATTGTTTGCAATTATTCAATAAAATTGCCTTCTTTAATAGAGAAAGAAATGATCAGCTTGAAGAGATTGGGAGAAAAATTGTAAAAAAGTGCAATGGTTTGCCTCTTGCGGCAAAGACCTTAGCTAGTCTCATGCGATGTAAGAAAACCAGAAAAGAATGGGTAGATGTTTTGGATAATAAGATATGGGAGTTAAAAGAAGTTGAACAACAGGTTTTTCGATCACTATTCCTTAGTTATTATGAGTTGAGTCCGGCAGTTAGACGTTGTCTTTTATTTTGTGCTATTTTCCCCAAAGATTACGAGTTTGATAGAGACGAGTTGATTGAGTGTTGGATGTCACAAGAATATCTTAGTATGAAAGGAGATAGAGAAAAAGAAAGAATGAGAGGCCAACAGTACTTTGATAACTTAGTGATGCGTTCTTTTTTCCAAGATTTTGTTAAAAATGTGAACGATGATGATATTATACGCTGCAAAATGCATGATATTGTGCATGACTTTGTACAGTTTCTCACCAAAAATGAATGTTTTATTATGGAGGTGGTGGAAAGTGGTAAAGAGAAAAACATGGTAGTCGATAATAAGGTTCGTCATTTGAACCTAATGTCAACATACAATGATTCGTTTCCTGTTTCAATCTACAATAATTGCAAAGGATTACGGACTCTGGTGATTTCTACTTCGAAACTTCTTCCGTTACCCTCGGACTCATTTTCCAAATTGAAAAGCATTAGAACATTAAAGTTCAATAAAAACTCAATCAAAGAAGTTCCCGAAAGTATTGGTGGACTAGTACATTTGCGGTATCTCGATTTAAGTTTTAATCGGGAATTGAAAGAATTACCCGATTCTGTGGGTAATTTATTCAATCTGGAAACATTGCGTCTCATGTACTGCCAAGGACTCAGAGAAGTACCGGTGAGCTTAAGAAAGTTGGTTAACTTAAAGCATCTTTATATTGAGGGGTGCGAAAGGCTAAAATTACCAAAAGAGATTGGAAGATTAAGAAATCTGCAAATCTTAGATTGCTTGTATCTTCAAGACGGTGGCGAGGATGATGATGGAATTTTCAAGTTAGGGGATTTGGGAAACTTGGAGCAGCTTTCAGGGAGCCTTTGTATAGAAAACTTGAATTCAGCCAAAGACGGGAGTGAGGCTAAAAATGCAGAATTGGTGAACAAGAAGAACCTCCTTCATTTGACTCTGGATTTTGGGCTTTTAAGCGATCCGGAGAGAGCTAAGGATGAAGAAATACTGAATGGCTTTCAAGTGCATACAAATCTGGAGTCGTTGGATATCTGGAATTACCATAGTACCACCCTGTGTCCCAGTTGGGTGATGAGCTGTCATAATCTGAGAAGGCTTGAATTCTATGATGTTCCATTTTGTGGGGTTTTGGCTCCTCTGGGGAAACTCCCGTCCCTTGAATATTTAGAGATAAATAGGATGGAGAGTGTGAAAAAGGTGGGAGTTGAATTTTTGGGAATAACAGGCGAAACACCGCAAACATTAATAAACTCGTTTCCCAAATTGAAAGAACTCAGATTTCATTTCATGGAAGAGTGGGAAGAATGGGAAGGAGTAGAAGAAGAGGATTCTAAAATTACAATAATGCCATCTCTTTTGAAGTTAGAAATCGTTTACTGCGAGAGGCTGAAAGCACTGCCGAACTTCCTTTGGAAGACCCCGCTGCGAGAATTAATCATCTTCGGAGGGGATTGTCCGATTCTTGCACAATGGTTCGAGACGAGATGTGGAATGGAGTGGTTGAAAAATGCGTCTCAAGTCCAAAACATCAAAATTCAGGGCAAGTTTGTGAAAAAAGACGGAGTTGGAATGTTGGAGGAGGATTGATGATGGGCTCTGCCTGCCTGCCTATCTGATCCACCTCTTGGGCTAAAATGGTAATTTTGAACACCTTCCTTGCAATTCTTTAATTTTATTTAAGTTTCTAGTTGCTTGCTGCTACCATCTTCAGATTTACTTATTTTCTTTAAATTAAAATATCAACAACTCTCCGAATCTCAACAACTCTTTATCCAAGAAACTTCACCTAATTTTGCATAATATTGCATAATGGCAGACAGTCCAATTTTTCTTATTTTCTATTTTTGGTTTTTATCATTCTTGGTCTTACTAAACTATTTCTACGATGGGAAGCATTGACAGGGAAGAAGCAGAAGTGGATCTTAACCAATCTCTGTTAGCAGAACCATCTCAAGCCAAACACCTTCCATCCAGAGTTTGGATAGAGTCCAAGAAACTGTGGATGCCTTATCAATTTGGTATACTACTTTCATTTTTATTTTTATTTTTTCTTGCAGTTTCTTCTAATTTGGTAAATTTTCAATTTCACCATATTTTAACTGTAAGTTTTAAGTTTTAACCTTCTCTTTTTTGTGTTGTTTGCATTGAAACTTGCAGCATGACTATAAATGGGTGGGAGCTCATGATTCATCTAGCCTTCTTTGCTGGAACAGGGTAACTATTTTTGACCTCTCGCCACTTTTTTAGTAAACAATTGAAAGAAAAAAAAGAATTATTATGTAGAAGCAATGAGATAGATTAGTTAGGGATTTTGATATATTTTCTTATTTTGCTTATGGTTAAATATAATTATAATGTTCATTCTTTTTTGTCATCAACTCACAGAGTAAAGGTAGCAAATGAGCTGGGAGCTGGAAATGGTCAGGAAGCAAAATTTGCAGCAAAAGTTTCTGCTGCGGAATCAGTTTGGGTACATATTCACTTCCAGCACTGATGTCCTCCAATCAGTTAGTGAAATGTCTTACCTCTTGGCAGTCACAATTCTACTCAATGGTGTTCAACCCATCTTATCAGATTAACTTTTAACCATCGTAAATTTTTTAACTACAAATTAATCGTAGGTATACGATCTTTACTTGCCAAAAGATATATACAACAGTTGCTTTAACGTACACGAATAGTTATTTGTTGTACATATATGCGGATCTGACTATAAGTTTCACTTAAATCAACGGTTAACGATGGTTCAGTGCTTAACTTGAATATTGCGATGCCAAAAATGTTAGGGTTTTTTCCTTGGTATTAAAAGATGGTGTTTAATTTTACAGGAGTGGCTGTGGGCTCAGGATGGCAAGCATGGGTGACAACACGACGTGATTGGGAAAAGGAGCTATGATTCGAACATAAAAGTCCATTCATTTCTTAAAAAAGCTCCACTTATTTCTTTCAACCAAAAGAAATAAAAGAAGAATTAAGGGAAGCTGAAGCTAACATTTTATGATACAATATTGGTTGACCAATATGTTTTGGACTTTGGGGTTGTGGGTGGTGCTGTTGCTTTGGATATCTCATGGTGGGTCGTGTGTTTTGGGCTGCTTGGCTATGTGATGAAAAAAGACGGAGTTGGAATGGAGGAGGATTGATGATGGGCTCTGCCTATCTGATCCACCTCTTAGGCTAAAATGGTAATTTTGAACACCTTCCTTGTAATTCTTTAATTTTATTTTAGTTTCTAGTTGCTTTGCTACCATCTTCAGATTTACTTATTTTCTTTAAATTAGTATTTATGATAATTAACTATGATAATTGTTATCAATTAATACAAAGGAGGAATTTAAATTAGTTATTGCATTTGTTTTCAATTCTTTTCAGTTGGTTAACTGTATGCTAATTCATTGATTTTTATAAAAATTAATTATATATTGTAGGTATAAACACATTCCTTGGGTTTCCTTAATGAGTTTTGATCATTCTTTGATCCTTTGGAATATGGAGAATCAACACAGCAGGTCTTTACCAAGTATTTTCTCCAAATGCACCTATCTAGTATGTTTCTGTTCGCAGGTACGTAATCAAGTCGTTTCTAATTCGAGCAAGTCTCGTCTCTGCTACATAAATCCTCATTTGATTTCAATTCATCATGCTTACCTCCTAGTCCTCGTGTTTTATGCCATTTTGTTATGCAGGGTCTCTACTTAGGACAATAACCATGGATGCATGGATGTCACCTCCTCAGTCCTCACAAGGGTCACCTTTACTTTCTGTGGCTGTGGATCTTTCTGGTTTATTTATCTATTCCGAAAGTTTTCCTTCTTCTTCCCGTCCTTTTTCTATCCAGTTATATGCTCAATATTTGTTGTCACTTTTTATGGCCCTGAATATGGAAGAAACTGAACATGAATTGATCAAATTCTTTCAGGTCCTCAAACTTGACACATCCGAGCTTTAGAAGAAACGATGCAGTTCTTCACATGGAGTTAGTAGCTTCGGTTGCTGTAATTAACTTGATCAAGATGGAATTGGACAGAGTCAGAGTGTCATGAGATCCATAGAAGACTTGTTCATCTCCAAGGTATCTTTGCCTCAAATTGTACAAATTGAAAATATCAACTTTATTTTTTCCTAACGCAACAATTCGAGGAACATACATGTTATGCTTCAAACCTTGTGCGTACAATATGTTTAAGGTTCTGTTTTGAAAGTGTAATCACATTCTAATCCCATTGAATTTCTCATTAACCTTGTAGTGTCTAAAACGACTACCATGTTTGTGGAGACTCTATTTAAGTGGAAATTACTTCAGTTTCTTAATGCACATGCAAAATATTTCTGCAGGAGCAGCAGATTTGCGAATTGTGCAAAGATCGTTGCATCTCAATTAAGAGGCACAGTGGATAGGATTTTGATTGGTAAGTAAATATTGCAAGGTAATATTTTTGGAATTTGGAACCAAACTGGTCTTTCAAGCCTTTTTTATTAAATTAGATTCATGAAATAGTTTTGTCACTCTATTTGTATTCACGGTTTAAAAATCTAAGTCTTTCGGATTGTGTGCAGAATCAACAGATGCTGTGATAAAGAACACTACCACCACAGCCTGCAATGGCTATGAGAGCGCTCAGCGTGGTCCACCCTTGCCATGAGCTATATGCTTCTTGTGTGCCTCTTGTGTTGAAATCTGACTCTTTGACAGCAGTTCAAATGATTAACACTGATGAGGAGTGCTTGCATCAAAAGGGGTTTTGGTGGAAAAGATTCATCGCCTAATTGAGTTATGATGAGACCACAAACTACTGTTCAGTATGTTCCTCGTAAAGCTAATGGAACTGCTCACCGGCTTGCTCAGTTTTGTCTTCGTGAATTAGCCTATCATTTTGGATGGATGAGTGCCCTCCTTGACTACTCATGGATTGCATTCAAGATGATTGTCCTTCTCTGCATTCCTTTCCTTGATTCAATTGTAATTTCTTGGCATACGTGGTACTCTTTCCTATCCCGAAGTTTTGTCCCATGTGGTTTTTTTCGGGAAGGTTTTAACAAGACCACTTCAATACATGCTGACTCTATTGTTCTTGATTATTTGAATGAATTATCGTTTGCCTTTAAAAAAAAGAATTTCAAGTGATTGAGCTTTTAGTTTTGCAAGGTGACACCAAAAGACATTATGATGGTTCATATTGTGTTGTAAAATAATTGGAATATGTGCAAATATTGATCTGTACGTAAAGTAGATGAGACACAACATCAAAATAAAGCCATTTCTCTTCAGTACCAGTATACCACCCTCTTCCATCAAATTTTGGATTGTAAAAACCCAAGCTTTAACCCTTTCCCCAAAATCATAGTTCTTTTCTCCCTCCCTTATTCAGATGAGAATTCACTAAGCATTGAAATTGGAAAATCAATTTATCAGCTCTGTGATTTGGAAGGGTGACTAAAGAAATTTTTTTGGGAAACTCTTTCCGAATGTGTTCTTCCCGTGTCAGAAATTTTTGTTTCTATATGATTTTTTTTTTTCCGACTTGTATATATAGGGCCTTGACATCCATATTTGCACAGGGCCTCCAAAATCAATGGACCGGCTCTGGGAGTTAGAAGAAGTTGAACAAGAGGCTTTTCGATCCCTATTCCTAAGTTATTATGAGTTGAGTCCAGCAGTTAGACGTTGTCTTTTGTATTGTGCTGTTTTCCCAAAAGATTATGTGTTTGATAAAAATGAATTGATTGAGTGCTGGATGTCACAAGAATGTCTTAGTATGAAAGGTGATAAGGAAAAAGAAAGAATCATAGGCCAAAATTACTTTGATAACTTAGTAATGCGGTCTTTTTTCCAAGATTTTGTTAAATACAACATCGATGATATTGTAAAGTGCAAAATGCATGATATTATCCTGACTTTGTACAGTTTCTCACAAAAAATGAATGTTTTATTATGGAGGTGACGGAAAGTGGTAAAGAGAAAAACATGGTAGTCGATAATAAGATTTGTCATTTGAATATAATGTCAACATGCAATGATTCGTTTCCTGCTTCAATCTACAATTGCAAAGGATTACGGACTCTGATAATTTCTACTAAGAAACTTCCTCCATTACCCTCAGACTCATTTTCACTATTGAAAAGCCTTGGAATGTTAAAGTTAAATGAAAACTCAATCAAAGAAGTTCCCGAAAGCATTGGTGGACTAGTACATTTGCGGTATCTCGATTTAAGTCAGAATGAAGAATTTGAAGAATTACCCGATTCTGTAGGTGATTTATTCAATCTGGAAACATTGCGTCTCAATTGGTGCAGGGGACTTAGAAAACTACCGGTGAGCTTAAGAAAGTTGGTTAACTTAAAGCATCTTTATGTTAGGGGGTGCCCTGATCTAAAAGTACCAAAAGAGATTAGAAGATTAAGAAATCTGCAAATCTTAGATGACTTGTGTCTTCAAGACGACTGCTGCGACGATGGAGGAAGTTTCAAGTTAGGGGATTTGGGAAACTTGGAGAAGCTTCAAGGGAGCCTTTGGATACAAAACTTGAAGTCAGCGAAAGATGGGAGTGAGGCTAAAAATGCAGAATTGGGGAACAAGAAGAACCTCCTTCATTTGAGACTACATTTTGGGCACGACTATGTTAGAGATCCGGAGAGAGCTGAGGATGAAGAAATACTGAATGGCTTTCAAGTGCATACAAATCTGGAGTCGTTGGCTATCTACAAAAAGAAAGGTATGCTTTCATTCCTTCCCCCAGCGTTTGTTTTGGTTCTATTGGTAAGGTAATTATGCGTCGTGACATCGCTATGAGAATAAAGGAAATAAATGAAAAGTTATCTGAGATAGACATTTTAAGAAAAAATTATAACTTTCAGAACACAATTAGAGCCACTGAGAAACTTGAACGGGTTGAAACTTCTTCTTTTGTCCAAGTGTCTAGTATAATTGGTCGTGAAGAGGAGAAAAATAGATTAATGAGCATGTTGTTAAGTGAGAGTAGTCAACAAGGGGGGAGTCCATTTGTTGTGATCCCCATTGTGGGGATGGGAGGATTAGGAAATACTGCCTTTGCCCAATTAGTCTATAATGATGAAAATATAAAAACTCATTTTGACACTAGAATATGGGTTTGTGTGTCAGACCCTTTTGAAGAGATCAAGATTGCCAGAGCCATTGTTGAAGTGCTAAATAAAGGTGATGATCGAATTAATTCAACTAGTCTGCAACCTTTGTTGGAATGTATAAATGAATATATTAGTGGTAAAAAGTTTTTCCTTGTTCTAGATGATGTGTGGACTCCAACCATTGATAATTGGGAACCATTAATGGGAGCTTTACAAAATAGTGCTATAGGCAGTAGAATATTGGTGACCACGAGAAAAGACACGGTTGCTACTGTGACTGGAGCAGCCGCTGATCACGTAATCCATTTGAACATCTTGAGTGATCAAGATTGTTTGCAATTAAAGAGAATACTACACCAGCAGATCCCATCCAATCTGTCAGTCCCATGAAATCAGCTGATCCCATTACATCAGCCTTAGAAGCCTCCTAACCACAAGCACGACATTCATCAGCCAGAATGATTAATTGTCAATTCCTCTGTAATATATGTAATTGATTGGACTTACCTTATATCGTTAAGTTTCTGTAAATAGACTTGAGAAAGTCTAACCTATGTACCAATATTTATACTGCAGATAATACAGAGAACGTATCTTGACTGTGGCAATTATTCTTAATCTCTCTGTTCTTATCCTTCTCTCTTCCTCTTGAGTTCATTTTCTCATATGGTATCAGAGCTCTTTGGAGCTAACCCTCAAAATATCGATCCTACCCAAAGCAATATTGATATGTCCAAACTGATTTCTGAAATGTCAAAACTTTCCTCACCTCCATTCTCATCCCATTCTTTGCCCACCTCTTTCAATATCTCATCGTTGTTCCCAGTTCCTATGGATCGCACCAACTACTTGAGTTGGAAATCCCAATTTGAAGATGTATTGGAGATGCACGGCCTTGCAGCAGTCGTCAAGAACAGCACAGACCCACCCAAAGTGCAAGAAGATGGATCTGTGCACCCAGAGTTAGCCAAGGATAAACTGGTCCTGAGTTGGATCAAAGCGACTTCCTCCTCTTCGATCAAGACACTTCTCATCCCTTGTACCACTGCTCATCAAGCCTGGACCATGCTGGCCAAGCGCCTCTCACCTCTTGCTAGTACCCGTGTACGGATTCTCCGAGACCAAATTTGCACTCTCAGAAAGGACAGCAACACAACAATAACTGATTATCTCAATTATGCCAAATCACTTTTTGATTCCCTCACACAAGCTGGTGCAACAATGGATGATGATGAACTCATCAGTTATGTTCTGGATGGACTTGGTCTTGAATACAAAGAGTTAGCCACAACACTTCACCTGCATCCCGATATTGATTTCGATCGATTTTATGATCTGGCTTTAAGAGAAGAGCATCTGCAGAAACGGATGTCTCTTACCGTGGCTTCAGGAATGGCTATGGCTGCCGACCGTGCGTCCAAAGAGCGCACCTTAAATTCAAACATGCCCAGACACAATCACAATCCTCATCACGGATTTGGCAGAGGACGCGGTCGTGGCAGGCATTGGAATCAAGGGCGTGGATCAAGGAGAACAGAGCATTGGGAGCTAACTTAAGGGGCTTGGTTTCCAGATCGTCACTCTCAGCCTCACGACCAACAATCTGCTGCCGTTACTTCTTCTCCTGCGACTCTTTCTGATGGACATCCTCCTCTTCTTCCAACACCACAAGGCAATTCCTCCAATACCCAGCGAACTGAAGTAATTTTTTTTCGGTGCGATAAGCAAGGCCACATAGCCCGGTTTTGCCCTGACCGTAAGCCCCATGCATACATGGCAGAAAATTTGACAACCTCTTCTCCTCCTACTGCTGATGTGGCAAATCTCAATTGGTGTTTCGATTCAGGCGCTACTCACCACATGACAGCCAACGCTACCTCTCTCCCCAATGCTCATCCTTACACAGGTACAGATAAAATTATTGTTGGGAATGGCAATCAGTTAGCAATAACACATATTGGCAATACAAAGTTAACTGGGTTGCAAAAATCATTAAACCTTAATGAAGTCTTGTGTGTGCCTGCGATCCGCAAAAACTTGATTTCTATTCATCGTTTCTGTTGTGATAATGATTGTTTCTTTGAGTTAGATGCTAATGGGTTTCATGTGAAGGACAACAAGACGGGGACGGTACTCCTTACTGGCAGTAGTTCTGATGGCCTCTATCATATTCAAACAGCCCCTCATATTGCTTGTCAAATTGCTTGTTATGGAAAGCGTACAACACAGGACGTGTGGCATGCCCGACTTGGACACCCATCTCATTCAGTTTTTACTACATTGTTGAATAAGTACCACTTACCACTTGATGGTACAATTGTCTCTAATAAAAATTGTCATGTATGCCCATTGGGAAAATCTTGTCGATTGCCTTTTAAATATAGACAATCTCATGCTCAATTTCCATTAGCTCTATTACATCTTGACTTATGGGGCCCTGCACCAATCTCCTCAAATTTTGGTTACCGCTATTATTTATCCATTGTCGATGATAATACTCGGTTCACTTGGTTATATCCATTGGCTAAGAAATCATAAGTTCTTGCTACATTTATTCACTTCAAGAAGATGGTGGAAAATCGTTTTAGCTCTCGCATCAAACAACTGCAGATTGATGGTGGCGATGAATTTACTAGCAAATTATTCCTCACATTTTTAAGTGATCATGGAATATCACATCAGATCTCATGTCCATACACTCCCCAACAAAATGGAGTGGTGGAAAGGAAACATCGGCATATTGTTGCAACGGGACTTTGTTTATTGGCCCAATCCTGCCTGCCCCACAGCTTTTGGGTTGAAGCCTTCTCTACTGCGGTTTTTCTGATTAATCGCCTCCCAACTCCTCAACTTGACCACATGTCTCCTTATGAGAAATTGCTTCAACGCACACCGGATTGTACATTTCTCAAGAGTTTTGGTTGTGTCTGCTTCCCTCATATGGTGCCATACAACAGGCATAAATTATGTTTTAAATCTGTTCCATGTGTATTTATTGGCTATGATGATCATTATAAAGGCTATCGTTGTCTTGATCCTATTTCAGGTCGCATTTATATCTCCCGGAATGTGATTTTTGATGAGACAAGTTTTCCCTACCAGCAACCTCATATTACACCTGCCGCCCAATCCACACCTGCCTCTCAATTTGATATTGGGCCCAGCCTGGACTCTTCACAAATCAACACTTCTACAAGTCCAGCCCAACCTGCTCCCATTGTTCTTGACTCTCCATCAGTCAACCTGTCTGCCAGCCCACCCCCATCTGATCCCACACAATCTGACCCAACACAACCTTTCTCCCCTGCTCCAACAGACGCCATTATTTCATCGTTCTCCCACTCCCCAAACCCCTTGCCGTCGCCTCTGTCTCCCTCGTCGCCTACGACCTCAGCATCAATCACGAACACCACAAACCCATCACCCGAGTCAACACCCCCCTCTTCCCCTCCTGATTCGTCCACTTCTCCTTCTTCCCCTCTTGACCCATCTCTCTTCCCTAATTCTCCAGATACACCAAACCCTTCCCAAAATTTTAAAAGCCTCAAGTCCATCATCCCCTTTGGTCCTGCCACAAAACCCATGTACTCTCCGACCAACCCGCACTCCTTACCCCATGCTCTCTCTGCAGCCTGCTCTGATCCCATGTCCTTCGAACCAACAAGTTTTACCCAGGCTTCGAAATACAGTCATTGGCAAGCTGTCATGAAGGATGAATACGATGCCTTCTTGAGGAATCAAACATGGTCTTTGGTTCCAGCCACCTCTCGAATGAATATTGTGGGATGCAAGTGGGTTTTCAAAGTTAAACGGAAAGCCGATGGCTCTATTGACCGCTACAAGGCTCGGCTTGTTGCCAAGGGATTCAATCAACATGAAGGATTTGATTATGAGGAAACATTTAGCCCGGTAGTTAAACGGGCCACCATTCGCACTATCTTGTCTCTGGCTATGTCTTATAACTGGTCTATTCAGCAGCTTGATGTTCGGAATGCCTTCTTGAATGGGTACTTGCAAGAAACGGTGTATATGAAACAACCTCCTGGTTTTCATGATTCCTCACGTCCTCAAGATGTATGTCGGCTCCATAAGGCTCTTTATGGCCTTAAGCAGGCTCCCCGAGCTTGGTTTCAACGCCTCAGTGCTTTTCTTCTTCCTCAGGGATTTGTTCACAGTCACTCTGATGCATCATCTTTATTCATCGCTCCTCTTCCTGCACAATCTATGTTCTTGTATATGTGGATGACATCATTGTCACCGGGTCTGACACTCAAAGTGTCCACCGATTTCTTGATCAATTGTGCTCCACCTTTGACAGTCGCCGAATGGGTGAGCTCAATTTTTTTCTTGGCATGGAAATTACTCGGTTTCCCGATCATTTATTTCTTTCTCAAACTAGATATGCAGTTGATTTATTGAAACGATTTAACATGACTGACTGCAAACCGTGTCCTACACCGTTGCCTTCTGACACTCGATTGTCCTGTATGGATGGTGATCCCTTATCTGATCCCTCTACCTATCGGAGTATGGTGGGTGGCCTCCAATATCTTACTCTATCACGGCCTGATATTTCCTTTGCTGTTAATCAGGTGTGTCAGTTCATGCACGACCCTCGTTCTTCTCATCTTCAGGTTGTCAAGCGCATTTTTCGGTATATCAAAGGTACAGTTGAGCAAGGTCTTGTGTTTCACCGGTCCAATGACTTTACTTTACGCAGTTTCTCTGATGCTGATTGGGCTGGTTCTGTTGATGATAGACGGTCTACCATTAGTGCTTGTATTTTTTTCGGACCTAATCTTCTCACCTGGACTGCCAAGAAACAGTCTACTGTTTCTCGTTCTAGCACTGAAGCTGAATATCGTGCTCTTGCCCATACTGCCGCTGAAATCTGCTGGTTTGGTTTCTTGTTTCATGAACTTGGTATTCCTCTTAGCTCTGCCCCTTGCGTATATGTTGATAATCTCTCCGCCATCTGTATGGCTGCCAATCCTATTTTCCATGCACGCACCCGTCATATTGAGATCGACTATCATTTTGTTCGCGAACTCGTTGCTCGCAAAGCTCTTCATACCTTTTATGTTCTCTCCTCTCATCAGATTGCTGACATATTCACCAAAGGCCTTAGTCGTGAGCGATTTTCTCTTCTTAAATCCAAGCTCAATCTTCGCGTTGCTCCGTTACGCTTGAGGGGGGGTAAAGAGAATACTACACCAGCAGATCCCATCCAATCTGTCAGTCCCATGAAATCAGCTGATCCCATTACATCAGCCTTAGAAGCCTCCTAACCACAAGCACGACATTCATCAGCCAGAATGATTAATTGTCAATTCCTCTGTAATATATGTAATTGATTGGACTTACCTTATATCGTTAAGTTTCTGTAAATAGACTTGAGAAAGTCTAACCTATGTACCAATATTTATACTGCAGATAATACAGAGAACGTATCTTGACTGTGGCAATTATTCTTAATCTCTCTGTTCTTATCCTTCTCTCTTCCTTCATTTTCTCATAGCAATTATTCAATAAAATTGCCTTAATAGAGAAAGAGATAATCAGCTTGAAGAGATTGGGAGAAAAATTGTTAAAAAGTGCAATGGTTTGCCTCTTGCTGCAAAGACCTTAGGTAGTCTCATGCGATATAAGAAAACCAGAAAAGAATGGGTAGATGTTTTGGATAATAAGATATGGGAGTTAGAAGAAGTTGAACAACAGGTTTTTCGATCACTATTCCTAAGTTATTATGAGTTGAGTCCGGCAGTCAGACAATGTCTTTTATTTTGTGCTGTTTTCCCAAAAGATTATGAGTTTGATAGAAATGAGTTGATTGAGTGTTGGATGTCACAAGAATATCTTAGTATGAAAGGAGATAAAGAAAAAGAAAGAATGATAGGCCAACAGTACTTTGATAACTTAGTGATACGTTCTTTTTTCCAAGATTTTTTTAAAAATGAGAACGATGGTGATATTGAAGAGTGCAAAATGCATGATATTGTGCATGACTTTGTACAGTTTCTCACCAAAAATGAATGTTTTATTATGGAGGTGGTGGAAAGTGGTAAAGAGAAAAACATGGTAGTCGATAATAAGGTTCGTCATTTGAACCTAATGTCAACATACAATGATTCGTTTCCTGTTTCAATCTACAATTGCAAAGGATTACGGACTCTGGTAATTTCTACTGAGAAACTTCCTCCGTTACCCTCGGACTCATTTTCAAAATTGAAAAGCATTAGAACATTAAAGTTGAAAAGAAACTCAATCGAAGAAGTTCCCGAAAATATTGGCGGACTAGTACATTTGCGGTATCTCGATTTAAGTGGGAATCATAAATTGAAAGAATTACCCGATTCTGTGGGTAATTTATTCAATCTGGAAACATTGCGTCTCATTTGGTGCTTTAAACTCAGAGAAC